AATTTAAACTGCTCCCCCTTTGCAAGAGTGTCAACTACTAGGAGGTAATCGCTAACCTACTATTTTCGAAGAACACCAGAAATATAATTAAAGGATTTAAGCCAAAGATAATAGAGTCAATAAATATTGAATTCTGTTATAAATTTTTTGATAGAGAGTTTTGCAGGAACGTGTCTGAGCCTTAATTTAATCACGGCTATTAACTCAAAACAAATTGGACCAAAAAAGTTAAAACCAAGAATTATAATAAATTCGTGCCCAAACTTATTTTAGCGTTGTAACGTAATTGTTCTCTATATTAACGTGTGTATAGCACAGTAGATTAGATATATATTTTATTCTTATGTAAAGAACTAATTATTTGCTTTTATCAGTTATGAGCTAACTTTAATGCTGTTAAATTTCATACCACGCCCAAAAGTGGTTCCTTTAGGATGGGGGAAGAGAAAATTAATTTTAGTATCAAGTTCAACGTACACAAACCGAAATCTAGTTTGTACGCTATCACCCAGTTAAGCGCTCGTATAGTCTGGTTTCTTTTCGACTTGATCAAACGCCAGAATTACCATTAATAATCAAAGCATAGCAATTTTTAGTATCACAATATTTTTGTGAGCGTCCTTTTTTCTGTTTAGTCGTGAAGTCCAGTATGCCTACCTGCCTCTTCTAATATTAATTTATTGATATAGGCGGTACGGCAAAGGAATAATCTGTTAGCCTGTCAGGTGGGTGATCTGTTAGCTATGTGTTCTATTAATTTAGCGTGCCCGTGGAGGCGTAGAAGCTCTTTGTTTTTGCGTGGGACGTATTGTGGAGCAAGAAGGATCCCACTTACTATGTACTATACATGTGTGTAGTGTCTAGTTAATGTTTATGCATTTATTCCTACCTTGGCTATGCGTATAATTACGCTCTTTATAACCACACCATGTGCCATTTTAAAAACAACAGATCACTCAGAACTATTTAACTAAGCTTTTTAAAATAGTAAATATCTTTTAAGAGCAAACCAAACTAGTATTAACAAAGAATGAAATTTTTAATTTGCTTTGGATCAAGCACAAGTTGGTGTGGGACTTTTTTTGTCTAGCGTCAAGTTTTATAACTTAGTTGCCCCGTGAAACTTATAAGCTAAAGTACACGTTCCCTCTATTTGTTGCTAAACTGGTAATATTGGGTAATATTAGCAGAGAATAAAAGTCAAAGGTATTTTGATATTTTTAAAAGAAAGCACTAATATAAAAAAAGTTTACAAGCAAAAATTTTTAAAACTATATTTTGCTTAAAATTTTTATTTTGTAAAGCTTAATTAGCTATTTAAAATAAGGATTTAACTATGTGATACTAGAGAGTACTGGTAATAATTTAGGCAGAAGAGTTAATAAATCTTAATTTTTCTAATTTTTCTTTGGCTTCTTTTCTAACGCGTTTCTTCCAGTTTTCAAAGGATTCTAATTGTTCAAGCTTGCTATTATGATTGTTATTTTTATTAATAACACTCTTGTTATTAGCACTATTCTTAGTTTTAGTGTTAGTATGTGTATTAAGCTCTTTATTTTCACTTGAAATTTTTTCAAAATTTGAAAAGTCATAGAGGCTTTTAATAGAGTCACAAACTAAATTGAATTCACGTAAACTGCAGCCTGCCATCCTAACAAACTATTCAAACACGAGAAGAACTTTCATAAATTTGTTAATCAAATAAAAAATATTTACCAAACTTTTTGACAAGTTCGTATTTTTGCATAAAAACAAGTAGACGAAAGCACATATTTCAAGTTTGCTGCCGTTACTAACGAAAAAGTTGGAACTTTTGCGGTTACTAATGTACCTAATATACGAAAGAATTATAAAAATAGGGACAAGTTAGAGAGAATACAACACTTGCTTTTTCCAATGGATTTCACATTCTTCTGCCTTACCTGCTTGATCGCACCGGAAGCATACTAAACCCACGCTAAAAAAATTTATTCCTAGCATACAGCCTATACGAGTTTCTTCTTTTTTAAAAAAACTTTTGGATAATCCCGTCTTTAAAAGTAATTCTTTCTGTAACTATAACATTTGCTTAAGTGTAATTTACATAACACTGTAATATGGACCTTATCAAAAACCGAATTACTTTCGCTTAAGGCAATGGACAAACATATATACAAAGAAGTAGGATGAAGTTTGACGTTTTTGGCTCTTAGTAAGTTAAAATAACCATAAGCCTAAAAGTTTATGCGTTATAATCATATTCCCGAAAGGAGATAAAATAGTAAACTTTATCCGCTACGCGGGCTTCCACTTTTTGTTTTAAATTGTTTTCAAAACATTTAAGCATCAGAAGTCTTTTTGTCAAGACAACACCAGTAGATAATTTTACCTTTCTTCTATTATTTTAACCCTTTAAGCGCTGTCTTACAAACCTATATAAGCAAAAATTTTAGTAATGCAAGTTTGTGGACTTTGAAGGGTAGTACAATAAAAAATTTTTATTTCTGGCTCCTCAAACAGCGTGGTTTTCATATATGATGTTGATTACCTAGCAATTATTTGCTAAATATTCTAGCAGCACAGTTATGTATATAATATTATGGCCATTTTATTATATTTTTTCTTTATATAAAGGTTAAAAAATTGTTAAAATTTGATTAACATCTGAGTAACCTTTTTCTTAGACATTGAATCTTTCTATGGAAATATCTCTCTAGTTTGAAGGTCTTGCAAATTGGCCCAAAAATTCCGTATTGATTATGCCATTTGTTAACATTTTACTAGATATTAAGGTGTTTGTTTATAATTCGTTATTACCGCTCTTTAAAGGCCAGTTTTCGCTAGAAATTATCTTTATATAAAAACTTGTATAATAATTTTTTATTGCTAATTTTATTGGCACATTAATGCCATCGTAAATTTTGTAAGAACTGGATACTAATTTCCTTACGAAATTTGTTAAAACAGTTAAAACTTTTTATATTTGATAAAGATTAATTTGGAAACCGGCCTTTTTTTTTTTGCTTTTATTACACTTGCAAATTATATAAAATTTATATGACAAACTATTTACATATAAAAGATCCTATAAATACAAGAGCCACGAGGGAAATAAAATAAAGTCAAAGAGTAAAGAGTACTAAATAGCAAGGACACTTGAAGTGCTAAGAAAAAAAGTAATTCATAATGTCATGGAGCCCATTAGTAAAGTATTTATACTACTAATAAAAGAGATACCAACAAAAGTATGTAAGAGTTCACTTGTTCGCAAAAACCACCTTTAAAGATTTTATAGTTTGAAGTATATATATAAAATATATTTATGTGATAACATAGAATGTAAAATGAATAAAGGGTAGAGATCACATTTATTTTAAGTAAAAAAGATACAATAAAATGGGCCCTATAACCAAGACATACAAAATTCTAATTCACCCTCACAGTACAACTTTAACTCCGACCAAAAATAAGCAAAGCCATCAACCATTAGGAAAAATAAGTAAAAAAACTTTAGGAATCCTTTACAAAAAATACTTTTTAGTTTATCAACAACCTTCTTTAAAAGGCCAAAATCTACCGAAAAATCTAAAATATTCTCGTATAAATTTACAGGTAGCCTGCGACGGGCATCGAACAATAAATTTAAAGATTTCCTAAAGTAAACGAACCAGAAAGTTTAGATATCTTCATTACTCTTTTATGTAGTCAAATTAGAATGCCAATAAGACCCATATCAGGGTCTATTTGGAAAAACTCACAATACTCAACTTTATAACAACTCCTGTCCTCATGACCTTCTGTGCCGTGTCCTAACGTTTCATCTTGTTTATCCACAGTAATGTTATCAATCCGTTCTATTGAGGCATCAACAAATCTAAAGGGCTTGCCCACCTGCAAGAGAGAGGGTACATCCGGGGCGTCAGATATGGGACTTTCAATATTGATAGGTTTATCAGCATACTGTTCATTCTAAAAAATCTAAAGGTTGCTCATCTGACGCAACTTTGCAGACCTTTGGCCTTGATGCTGTCCTGTCACATAGGGCGTAGGGTTGCCACAGCTTAGTGGCATGTTTCCTCGAGGCATGATAGGGTGAATTAATCCCCTTCCCAGCTACTGCTAGATTGAGGTACTCCGCTACGGATATTTCTTTCAGAAAAGGAAAAGTGTTTTAGCAAACTTTTGTTCCTTACCTCTGTTTAAGAAAGCCTGCATTACATTTGTGGAGCTGTCAACCCATCTTAACAAGCTCCAAATATGCGTGAGTGGCAATACCCATCAAGGGCCAAAACCAAATTTAGTCAAAGCCGTTTTGAAGGCCTCACTAAAAAAATATATTGGGGTCAAAACCGTTTATGGGAATTCCAATAATTTAGATTTTAGAAAATTATTAGGTTCTCTCCTCGTGCTAGGGTCTTTAAACTGACATTGGACCGACCAAAAAAAAAGTTGTAGCTAAAAAATCATGGGCAGTAGCTTGAAATATATTAAATTTTTTATTTATGCTTATTAGACCTTCAAAATCCCCTTTAACTTTAACAGTCTTTTTAGGCGTCACCTCAAGCATCTTGACTATTTACTATAATTTTTCTCTTTTCCATATATTGTAGCTCGTTTTGAGTGTACAACTGAAATAAACTTATTTCCTTTAAAATTTTTATTTCCAGGAACAGTTTCAAAAGGGTGGTATATGACCTCTTCTTAAAACGTTCACTAAAACTCTTTAACACTCTTCATTAGTGAGTTTAAAAGGTCTACTAACGATTTGAGTCCTACATCTAAAGGAAGCTTTAAATATGATTTATCAACCAAAGAGAAGAAAGTTGAAGGCATATAACTCTTAAAAGAAACAACATTATTGTAATCACTGCCTTGAAAAAAACGTGTTAACTTTAAAGTGGAAGCATTAACTGGAAAGAATTAAGTATGTTCGAATGTACAATAATGTCCTTAGTCTCGCTTTTTCCCGCAAATTCCATGTATAAAACCGTTTTCAAGGTAATCTTTATAGAGGGACTGATTCTTTTATTATAATACGTCCAGTTAAATAAAGTTTTGCAATAAGTCAACTTTCTCTTCTGGAAGACCTTTAATTGTATCGCGAGGAAGAATCAGGAATACAAGGCCTGTTCGAAATGAACACGGCAAACTTGAAAGTGATTTGGGGAGTAACTGGACACTACAACCCTCTTTCCAAAGAAATTCCTTCAATAGTATCTAAAAACCAAGAATAGAAAACCAAAAACTACATCAGAAGAGAAAAAATTAATAAATATGTCACGAGCATTCGTTACAACCTTATCGTGGGGAACCTGACGTTTTACAACAGGAGAAGGTAAGCTTTTCAAGATTCCTCTCGAAATGCTCGATACAATCGATGGTATGGCAAAAGGGTAGGTCACGATGTACGGGTATCCGTATGAGAAATAGAGAAATTGCAACCCTTAGGAACACTAAATTTCTTCAGTTTCACGCAGCTCTAGCCGTTTTCGGAAAGGGAGGAGTAACCATAATAGATACTCGTTAGTAAGCTTAGAGAGTTATGGGGACGAAACCACTGTTGTAGAGTCTAAAACAGGTTAGCTGAGTACTGTAACGGTTAACGTTGTCAGGACCAAGATTTTTGAAGGGAACTTTTAGTTTTTAATGAGAGGAGTAATAGTACCGGAGTTAGGAGCAAGAATAGAGAAAAATAAAGTGGATTAATTTCCAAGCGGGAACTTTGGAGAAAAGCGCCATCAATAAAAATTGAATCAATAATTTTTACAAAAATTTGAATGGGTATGGGTGCTTCGAAAATTTGAAGAGGCTAAGGTTCAGGTATTAGATAATTTTAGGTATAACTTATAACTTTTAATTATTATAGTTATTAAAGCATTGAAGGTAGAGAAAGGGGTTTTATATTTTTAGGACAAAAAAACATTTGAGAGTTGAAGAAGAGATAATTTTCCAGTAATACGGTGAGTTTCATAGTTGGTTTTTATATTAGATGGGGCACATTTCCAAAAGGAGGAGAAGAATTCCAAAGAGTTATAAAATTGGATAAAATATAAGAGTTGAAAATAAAGATTATCAGGTCGACCTCTCTTATTAAACATAATAATAAAAGCAATGGAATCAATATAAGTAAAAGTTGATGATAGAAAGGCAGGCTGGGAATCGCTAAGGTTAAAAAAGTGATTTGCAATGGGCACTTCGTGTGCACTATTCCCCAGAGACTTGCTTCTTAAATTCCAAATCAAGTCAAAGAATATTAACTTATGAAACTCTTCAATATTATAAGCGCTCACTAGGTCAATAATATTTAAAATAGATAGTGATAGTTGACCTTCCCAAAAGTGACAAATTTTAAATCAAGAGAACAGAAACCAAGAGTGCTTTCTAAATGAATCTGCGACATCTCCAGCAAAGAAGGCCTGGAAGAGAAAGCAGTTTAATTTAAGTGCCTAAAGAGGAAGAAGAATTAGCAACGGGGTAGTAAAACTGGAAGTCTATAGCATAAAAATTTTATACAGTGTGGTCTACCAAGAGGAAACAAGTTTAGAAAGCAAGCGCCGATAAGAAGTTTGCTATCAAGCATATATGTAGAAATGAAGAGAGGTCAGTATGAACATAGTATAAATTTAAGAATTGGAAGTTCCCTCTGAATATAATGCGTGTGTTTAAATAAGACGAAAACAGTGGTAAGTCCAAAAAGGGAAAACGGTTTCCGTAGTATTCCTTGTTAAAAAGTTTAGCAAACTTAACGCCCTTCTTATTAACAGAGCGAGCATAATCTAAGTTAAGATTAATAGTTTTAAGAACAGAATGTTCATCGAGTTGATAAAAACCAAATACACTTTTTTAAATATTTGATAAAATAACATGATAAGAATTATTTAAAAATAAATAAAAATAATAGAAATTGAATGAGAACTAATCGAATAATTCAAGACAAATAAGTGAATTAGGAAAAAGTAAAATCAGAAGAAAGAGAAAGCTGGATACCAAAAGTGTAGGGCGACAAAAGTGACCATGTGGTTTATATATAACACGAAAGCCGTCATTGGTTTTTACTGGCAAAGCGTGCTGCTGAGTATAATAGGTTAGTAAATATAAAACGTTATACATATACACACACACACACACACAAAAAAAAAATTCTACGAGAGGGTAAAAGATTAATTAATGTCTCCAGGATAGGACGTAAAAAGGGCATAAAATATGGAATAATGAGAAATAGGGGTTTTTCAGATCTTCCTAGGGTTAGGGTTGGCTGTGGTAGGAGTTTGAGGACTTGTATGTTTTACAAATGTCCTTACGAACACCCTCACATGGCTTGTTAGCCTTTCTCTGCAGATAAAATTATTGAGACAGGTCTCCTTATCAATAAAAAAAATTTTATAGTTAGCGAAAATCTATAAATTTAACCACCAAATGATGGGACAAAGAGTTAAAGAAGAGGGAGCAATTAGGTTTTTTCTAAGGTGGATTTAAATTTGCTTTAAAGGCTAACCGTAAGGACAGAGGCTTTCTTTTCACCAGAGTAAGCCGCCCTTCTAGGTAGTGTTATAGAAAAAGGAGGTTTTTGGTGACGCCACTTCATAACTCTACTATTCTCCAAAGTGCCCTAAAATTTTCAAATTCACAGAAATGAGTTAATTTTTGGTTTCAGTTGACATTATGAAATAGTTTTAATACTTTCTTAATCGGTTTGACGAGCTCGTATGAGAGCTTCTTAATCCCCAGGGAGCAGGGTTGTGGAAAATCTTTTCTGGCGGTGTCAAAGCTTAAGTCCCTAAGAGAGCGGGCAGCTTAGGTTCGGAGTCAGTACGGTGGCTGTCTACAGCATTTTAATTTTGTGTACAAGCAAGGCTGATGTGTTATCAAGCTCTATTTCGTTTTTCAATACTGTCGGTTTGAACTGAATTTGTGCATATAACAAATAGCGGAACCAAGACCGAATGCTGGGAGACATCTGTTAGGTCTAAAACTGTTGACGGGGCCCCATTCCACAAGCAAAGGAGGAGAAAGGAGGGGGGACCCATCTTATTTATTTTGGGTGTTGTTTAACTACCAATTACTATAATGTTGCAGTTTGCTCGCAAAATTTTCTAACTTGGAGACCTAACCTCTGGGAGATTCAGAAAAATGTCTCCTGTTCGTGGTTAGCCCTCGTGGCCCTCTTGTGTCCACCACTATATAAAATGTGTCCAATGGAAGCGGGATAGAAAATGAAAATTGTAGGATGGGTTTGGTAACAAAGGCTTCAGCTCAAGGCCTTGGGCTTTAAAAAGTAGTTTTTAAATATACAAAATCTTTGTAACTCCAACTAAATATATCCCAAAAGATTTTGACAATTCCGATTTTTTGTAGGGTGCATACAGTACATTATTAGAAAAGCCGTCATTATAGCAACTCTAGTTACAAGCAAAGTAACCTTGAAATTCTATTGTAGACGAAAAATACTACAAAAAGGTAGTTGTTTGTGAGAAGACTATACATGGTGAGTACATGGATACATTTCGACTAAACATACAAACGTACCAAGACAATCCTATCTGGGAGCTACAAAAGTTTGCAGAAGGGGCATTTTAGGAAATGTTTGTTTTCTGCATTCACCATGCATTTATGCGGCCCACCACTTCACGAGGTTACTTTAGTCATGTGGCGGCTCCAGGGTGGTGGTGTAATAAAGAACTCAAGCTTAAACGAAGCACTTCCCAGCAACTATTGTAAGCATGACCCGTTTGGATCAAGTAGAGCGGATGATAGTAAAATACCCTGATTTCCCTTCCAAAGGAATATTGTTTCTCGATATTTTCCCCTTATTTAAAAATCCTTCCGCTATAAAAGCGTTATTGGAGGAATTTCAAAGACACATTACTCCTTTGTTAAAGGTTATAACTTTTGTTCTTTATATTTAAAGTTAACTAAGTTACTTGAACTTGGTAATTAAGAGCTTGTTCATAATACCCTGTTAAAAGGTTGACACCGTTGTTGGTTTAGAGGCATGCGGTCTTTTATTTGGCCCTACTCTTGCACTTAAGTTGGGCTGCGCTTTCGTTCCTGTCCGGTTCAAATTTTGTTTACTATAATAGCGGGGCTAAGCCATTAAATTTTTTCTGTTTTACTGCACCTTTCCTTGTTTCTGCAGAAAAGCCGGTAAGTTACCTGGACAAACTGTAAGCGTAGAATACAAGGAGTATGGTAGCGACAAACTTGAAATCAACGCTGAAAGCATCAGCCTTGGAGATAACGTTGTGATCATAGATGACGTCCTCGCTACTGGTGGGACTATGAAGGTTTCTACAACCTTATACAATTCTTTTTTTCCTTATAGAGTTATTGCTAAACAAATATTCTTTTTATTATAAGGCTGCTGTAGAACTGGTGAAAAAGCTCGGCGGAAATGTTATAAAATGCTTAGTGCTTATTGAAATCACCGAGTAAAAGGGAAAAGATATTGTCGGCGCGCCTTGTTACGCACTTTTTGAGAATTAATGGGATGTACATATAATACTTTTTCATCCCACGACCATAGCGCTTTGAAATATTAGCGTACCAAGTCCTTGTTTTCGAATTCGTTCGCTAAATAAAATTTCTTAATCTTTTATAAAATTTTGCTGATTTAATAATGAACATTACGAAATAACATATATAAAAATAACTTGAAGAACATTGAACGTAGTTTTTTTAAGTATGTTTAAAGTCTAGCAAAGACGAGTCTACGCGTTTAAGGTAGTACAAAGAAACTTTTGTAAATATAAATAACTTTCTAAGGGACTACAAATTAAATTATTAACTAATAATTTTTTTTTATCGCAAGAGGCTACATATTTAAAGTTCCTTTCTTAAGAGAGTATAAAGGGTTCGAGCTTGAGAAGTTTGACTGATTACGTGGTAATTCAATCTGCTTCTACAATCTGACGTTCCTTATGGAGTCAACACACCAAGCGACACCTTAAGTTGTAGTGCCTAAGTTTTGGGGCTCGGTACCTTGATAAACCATCGTACCCCGTAAGAGGGCTCCACTTTTCAGCATAATGGGAAATCTAACATGTGTTAACTTCCCACTAAACTATATATATAAATCGGGTAGCAGAAGTTATTAAAATCAATGTGACGGGGGGGTGGTTCCAGTTAGCCCACAAGCTGTTAAACTTGGTAAATTGCCTTTGCCCCCACTCGTTTGTTTAACATTGCGAGTAAAGTGACATAATTTTTGAAGTTGGTAATAGGTACATGGCTGAAGAAACTGAAGAAATATCATCATTATCCCGTAACATTTGCTGGTTTTCTCTTTACCCAGAGTATACCACGTAATAAACCATCTATCTCACTACCTTTGTTAATAGTCAACTTTATTTACAAATTACGACCTTGTTTCTTAATTCCACATCTTAAATTTTGAGTAGATATCTCATTCTTAGTTTACCGCTCCAGTGACATTTGTAGACTGTTTCAGGAGTGCTATGTTGTCCAATTTTTAAAAAACGAAGAGTATTCCTAAAGAATGTTTACTGTCGTCCTTAATTACCTTGATTTTAAGCACATAGTTCCTGTGCAATCTATGCTGGTGTTGCGGTTCCTGAAATTAACCTGTTTCCCTGTTTTAACAAGTTGTAAAGTTGTTAGGGGCTATGAGGTTGCGAGCTTATAAGATTATATTTTACGGTAATTTATATTTTACCTTAGTCTACAAAATAAACCCCAAATATATTGATTATTAAGCCTTTTGCCTCCACTTTTGTTACAATACGCCTCCTTTTTTAAGGTTTACTTTAATTCCGAACACCAAGTGCTCGTAATATACACTCCTAATCCTTCTTAGACGGGACTAGCGGCATGCATTATTTGGATACAATATAACTCTGCTCTTAACAGTCTGTTCTTCATAATCTTAGTGAATTGTAAGGATAAGAACTCGGTGTTGGTAGTTTGTAAATGAATTTCACTAGCCACACAGTTCCTGCGCAGACGCTTAAGAGCTCAGCAGACACTAATGGTTATTAGTTCAGCTACCAAGCCACATTAAGAAAATGGGGGATTCATATATTTAACGCAGAGAAAGCATTTAATCAGGTTTGTCACTAGGTGGGAGGGAAAGGGTGGGGGAAGTAAAAACCAAAATATAGTTAAATGTGCGTGGCAGATCAATTTTATAAAATTGCTATCCTCATTCATGCTTCCTCTGTTCGGATACAGCCCTAAATAACGTTAAAAAGTGCAAGTATATCTTATTTACCGCTTTAAGAGTTTATTTACATTATCAGCTGGTAACTTGTCCAATCGATGGAAATCGATCGCTGTTTACCTGGTCACAAGGACCACAATAGCGGAAGTAACTATTCTTACAAATATACCCTCCCCTTACGTCTCCTTTATAACCTTTACAACAGAAATAGTCAGTTAGTTTTAAAATACAAATGCAAAGAGTGCAAAAAATTTTATTCTGAAGCAGCGAACAACAGATAGTCCCGATAGTAAATAGGCTTCTCTGTAAAAGGCTATTCTATATCTAATGAATCTGCTTTACCTCTTGCTGTAAAGTTCTAAGGACATGGTCGCTATTTTGCTGTTACACCATAAGTTATAAAAGAAAAACTCTGAAAGTGTGAGATTAACAAAATCACAGAATACACACAGAATACATTCTTTGTAGTTTGTAATTAAATAGCATTGAATGCCTCATTAAAGTAATAATCTAATTAAATACAGGGCAGCATCTTTCTAGGGGCAAGTGAATTCCAGTGGATCTAGCGAGTTTAATTGAACTCCAAAGTGTGTGGTAAAGTCGTCTTGTGGCTCCACAATACAACTGGGCATACGCAAGATGTACCACACTAGGCTATAAGTATAGTAAACAATATACTCATAACAGCACTACTGCTGCAATAATATATTAACAGCTCGCTAGCATCATACCACATACCCAGCAAATAGCACCATATATATTAGTAAAGTTTCGTCTACTGAATAGCACTATAAGCTAATATTTGCACAATACCGGCATACTACTACTCTAGCACCAAACCTAATTATTAGTAACAAGTACTTTGTCTTTCAGTCAACTTTCGGCAACCAAAC